CTGACTCATTCGGTCATAATCCCTTAAACATTTGGTTCAAGTTTAGTTGTAATGTGATCTAGTTACTTTTACCTATGTAGTGTATTCTGTGGTCAGTATTTTTTGCTGAAGATGTAGAATTGGGAAGTGAAGGCTAATTGTAGCATACGAGACTGGCTTTTGCCGTAAACGGCAGAAACGATTGTAAACTATAATGAAACTATGTGGTGTCATACGACGCATTTCATGTGAAACTGGTTATGGCTGAATGTCGGTTAAATCGGAGGTTTACGTTTGGTATGAAATGGTCCAATTGTGTAAGTGAGACGACAGGTGAAACTCACTTATCGCTAACGAAATGTATACACGCGTAGCAAATTATTGACCAGCCATGGGTAGAGGACAGCTTATATTGATCGAGGGCCTCGATAGATCTGGAAAGTCGACCCAGTCTGGTATACTTCTGGAAAGACTTCCCGATGGAAAATTAATCAAGTTTCCCGATAGATCAACTAAAGTAGGTTCTATAATCAACGAGTACTTGACAAACTCAGAATTGAACTTATCAGATCAGACTGCTCATCTACTTTTCTCTGCCAATAGATGGGAACTAGCAGACTCTATAGTGAATGACTTGAATAAGGGTCATTTCATCGTTATGGATAGATACATATACTCAGGCATAGCTTATTCTTTAGCGAAACTGAGCATCTCGAATCATTCAAGTCCAGAAATGGCCAGTATTGATTGGTTATATTCTCCAGATAAAGGTTTGCCCAAACCTGACTTGACTATATTTCTAACATTGTCTTTAGAGGAATTGAGTAATAGAAAAGGGTGGGGTGAAGAGAGATACGAAAAAGAAAACTTTCAGAAATCCGTGAAAAATTGTTTTTTAAAAGTCTTGAATGCTGGCAAGGATGCTTCGGTTCAAATAATTGATGTTAATAACTTGAATATTGACCAGGTAACCACAAAAATATGGGATCTTATTGAACTGAAAAATATAAATAAACAAACAGAAAATTCTATTGAAACATTTACATAATATGGTCCTTAATAAATTTATTAAACTTTTATCCTAATCTAACTTATCTAAATATGCTAACCTCTCCAAGATTTTATCCTTCAGTATCTCTTGAAATTCTCCTCCCAAGAATATTTCATCTAGTATAGAATACAATTTATAGAAGTTAAATATTAAGTCTAGCTCACAGACATTATCGAAATAAACATCTAACACTTCCACCAAAAAATGTAGCGATTCTAATGAATCCAACTCACTATCAATGAGATCTATGGAAGATATAAAATACAATCCAGCGTATCGCCTGTAGACCAACTTGTTTTGTTGATATTCAATAAAATTGGACTGATACTTCAGGTCCCTAGAGGATATCAACCTATGTATCTCTGTTGTATATCTTTGCTTATCCTGGGTAGTATAGTTATTATCATACCACTTAGCAAGCCTTGTTTTACCCTGCCTATTAAGCACTAGTATGAAATGAATCGCCATAATCTATGAAAGAACAAACAAGAAATGATGTGAAGTATTTTGGATTTATCGGAATTTACTAGAACTCAGTGCTTTTGCTACTGGCCTATCTTATATGGTATAACTAAATGTTCGTGGAGATAAGCTCCAAATTATTTACTTTCAGACGACTGAGATTATGATTTTGATCTAGTGCCAAAAAATGCGCTCTAAAATATAATCATTCTCTTTATACATTAGATTAGCATGAGCTTTTCAGACGACGAAAATGAGAGTTACAAGCAATTCGAAATTCATGAAGGAATTGCATTCTTAATTGAATTAACTCCTGATATTTTCCTTCCTTTGAAGGAGCTAGGTAATAAATCACAATTCATTGAAATACTATCTAGTATAAATGAATTGGTTAGCGAATTAATTATCACATTACCAAATACTGGAATCGGCATATATTTCTATAACTGTCAGAAGACGAATAAGAAATTCACAAAGGATTGTGGGCTAAACAGGTTATTTAAATTAAATGATCTAAATAGTTTCAATATGAAAATCCTAAATGATGCGATTAACGATGATACTAATGGGATAAGTTTACTTAAAGATAAATTTCCATATATAGAACGTGACCATAATGAAGATAAACTACCGGCAGTTCTTAATACTATGTTAAATGAATTCCATAATAAAAAGAATTATAATAACAAGAAACTAATTTGGTTTACAAATAATGATAAGCCATTTAACAACGATAAGAGTAAACATAATTTGTGGAAGATTATTAACGATTACGACGAATTTCGAATACAGATCACTCCTTTCTTCTTAGATAGTTATATGGATGAAAAACAGTCTAAGAAAAAGACGTTCGATCCTAGTTTGTATCAGGAGATATTTTTGAACACAAATTATTTAAATAATCGAAAAAGAACTGATGAAGATGATGATAAAGAAGAACTTGTAGATATCAAATCTGAGTTTGGTTCGGAGAGATTGAATGATATTGTATTTGATGGAATATCAAACTCTACTCCTAGGTTCAAGGAGACTACTTTATCAACACAAATAAAATCAATGATTTTCAGATTGAAAGAGATTAAGCGGATTCTTTTTTCCTGTGATTTGATACTTGGTGATGGAGAAGGGGTTTCTGGTAACTTTGGTTGTTCAGTTAAGGGCTATACAATTTATAATCATGAAAAATTGAAGAAGTTTAATAAGATCTATAATAGTGGAGAGGAATTGAAAATTGTTCATACCTGTAGTAAGATTTTAAATGATAGAACTGGTGAAGAGGTAGAAGTTGAAACCAAGGGTAATCAGTCGGTAACTGAGAGAAATGAAGATGCAAACATAAGAAAGGGATTTCCTATGGGTAATGACCATGTATTATATTTAAATTCCAAGCAAATAAATTTCTTAAAGAATTATGCATTTGACCATAATTCCGAGCATAGAGCTGAAGGAAAATCTGAGAATGAGGATGAAGATGACTCCGATAACGAAAATGAAGATTTGGATGATCATGGCTTTTCTAAACCGCCATATTTGAAATTATTAGGATTCAGGGGTTTAAGCACGTATCAGCCTCATTATAATTCTTCTGCCCCTATATTTGTCACACCAGATATGAATAATGGTCTCAAGACAGCATCAGCTGAAGGGGGATATAAGAACTCCTTTAAAACCTTTTCATCACTTTACCAGTCGTGTATAAAATTGCAGAAATATGGGGTCTTATTTGGATGTCTCAAAAAGAATTCGATGCCAAACTTGTATGCCTTATATCCAACCAAAGCAAAAAATTCAAATAAATCTGGTTTGAATTTTCCAGAAGGATTTTTTTTGATTCGATTACCTTGGTTAGACGATGTTAGGTCCTTGCCAGAATATTCATTTCTAAACAACGCAAATTTAAATGAACCTTCTGGCGAATCAGTACCACCAGAAATTTTACTCAATTTCAAACATATCATCTCCCAATTTTTTTTAAGAGAATACAGACCTCTGGATTTCCCTAATCCGTCAATAAATTACTTTTATAAGATCATAAATAATGAATTATTACAGGAGGAATTGAGTCCTGAATCAAAGTATGTTGAAAAGAATGATACAACCGCGCAAAAACTAATTGAGTTAAGAGGGTATTTGCAGCAAGAAGAATTACAAGCAATGTTGAAAACACTCAATGTTCGCTTGAATAAACTTAGTAATGAGTCGTTGAAAAGAGAAATGGAATCAAATGATGGTGCTGATAACAAAAAGCGGAAAAAGGAAGTGCCAGAATTAAATGAGGAAGCAGTATTGACGGCCTGGAAATCTAATGACTGGAATCATTTCAATGTTTCGCAGCTAAAGCAATTTGTTTCGAAGTATAAAGGTTTAATAAAACTGGCGACAAAGAAACAGGATATAATCAATAATATAATCCTGTTTCTCGACAAAAAATATGAAACTGAAAAATAATATATATGTTAGTAAGTATGGCTGTTAACTCAGAATAAACGAGTAAGTTCATGTGTCAAAAGTAAGATTGTAACTGTATGGATTACAACTTTAATATCTCGGACATTGCATCGATTCACAAGAAAAAAAAGAATGGACGAGACAGGAATCGAACCAGTGACCTTCTGCTTGCAAGGCAGACGCGCTACCAACTACGCCACACGCCCTTATTCTTAAGGTTTGTAAGAGAACATGCCCATATATATATGTGTTATACGTACAGTACGCGTTGCAAAGTATACGTCTTGCAATTACAGCCACGATTGCAAAACTATAAATATGTGGAAGAATCCCGGTAAATCTCAGAATAGAGGNTAAGGGAATTAGGACCTAAATAGAGAGTAATTAGTTAGTTGTCAATCTATAAGTCAAGTTAAAGTTAGATTAGTAGAATCTACATAGTATATCAAGTGTTAGTTGTAAGAATTACCTAATTTAGACCCAGTTCCCTTACAAGGTTTGTAAAGAGATCACATCTACATATACTTAGCGTATATGTATAAAAGTCATACATCAGTGTTGCAAAACTTGGTGTATAAATAGAGTAGATTATTCCTGAAATCTCAGAAGAGAGATNAAGGAAATTAGGAACTAATTATAGGTAGTTAAAGTTAGTTAGTTAGCTAAGAATAAAGTAAGTGAGTTCTATTTGGTCTATTAGAACATATATATAATATACAGATTATAAGTATAAGTAATTACCTTATTAGTACCCAGTTTCCTTACAATAGCTAAGAATAAAGTAAGTAAGTTCTATTTGGTCTATTAGAACATATATATAATATACAGATTATAAGTATAAGTAATTACCTTATTAGTACCCAGTTTCCTTACAAGGTTCAATCAAGCCTTACTGGATGTATGGATTTAGCAAACAATTATGCCAGTTCTCCCCTTCTATAACTAAGAATATTCTTACGAGAAGCAAATGGAGGTCAAGAGACATAGGAACTGAATTGCAAGTAATTAGTTAGTGGCATTAATATTAAGCTAAAAGGTTAGATTCTAATAGTATATTATCTTATCTAGAATTTCCCTTACATGAAGTGTAACTTGCAGCAGCATATATGACAGGCCCAGGGAACATATCTCTTTTACTGCTTCCAGTAAATATATGCCAGTATATTTGTACGTCTAAAACCAAAGTGCTCATTATCACAAATACAACTGCTATCATTGCTGTTCGGATCGTCTTCCCATAATAACTCTTTCAAACCATATTTTGGTTTGAGTTGCTATTTGAATAAATACTACAATGCACTGCCCCCATCAAAGAGGTATAGTAAACTTAAACAGGTATCCCCCCACAACTATTGTATTATGATAGTAAATGTCAATATCGCCATTTTGTGTATTTTTAACCTTCTTGAAAAATCCCCGCCATATTCTCCACTGATAATACCTATGTTTTAACCTCGCTTAGCGAACTAGCATTACTGAGTACCACACAAACGTTTACAGCTGATATAAAGCTATGTCAGAGATAGGAGTTATAGGCTTTTGGCACTGAAATATTATTATTTCGATGATGTACGTTCATTGCCGTGTCAACTGATAACCGGATACGAGTTATGTGCCAATCATAGTAGACATATAATAAGCCACCAGGATTAATAAGCTCTACTCGTACTTCTTATGAGAAGAAAATTTGGCAAAACTTCGCAAACTTATGGTCATCCGTATGCTCGCGCATTTCTCGGTCCGGACATATCGCATCTGCCATGATCTATTTTCTTAGCAGTTGAATGTATCAAAAGTATATATATATAAATAATAATTATATTGGAGAAATGTAAAATTACTCCAAATTTTAATATTTAGAGCCTATTGATTAGATTCTTTATTCACCAATATACTACAGAAAAGCATTGAGTAATACTAAATTAGTAAGTATCGCGTTCTACATTTGATGGGGTACAAATAATTATTATTATTATACCATGGTGGGTGGGCATTTCTATGAGTATCATAGTAAAACATCCTTGTCATAGATTCAAACTAACATAATTAGGATGTCTAAGTACATAATGACTAGCGAGGTACCTGGCTATTATGACCAAGAAAATAGCGAAGAGTTGCCGATATATACGACTCCTAACGAGCCATTACCGCAATATGAGCCTTCTCTCGAATATTTTGGATTATCATTGATTAAAACGGAGTTTTCGAGCCCATATCACTACAATAATGGGAACAGATCGTGGAAACCGGTGTTGTTAGAAATCAATTCAACTCAGTTGAATATATATGACTTGAAGGTTGAAAAAAAGGTGATGGAACTCATTGTGGCCTTATACAATGACTCAAATCAATTGAATGACATGATGGAAATAGTACGAAATGAAAAAATGAATAATGACGATGATGATGACTTAGACGAGATGTGGAATGATGCATATCAGGGAGAAGTAGATGATTTGAAACAATCGACGTCGAGCAAGTGGAAAAGCCTGTGGCACAAATCCAAATACAACAAGGTGTTGAATAAGAGCATTTCGCAATACTATGATCTTATCAAGGAAAATCGGATGCTTTTTGAGCCCACCAGATCGGCTACCGAATACAGCATCTTCAGAACAAAATTTCAAGGAAACCAAATTGCATCGTACACATTAAATAACATGTATGTGGGGGAAGCACCCTCTTTAAATCACCTAGTATCGTCGATGTACAAAGACAAAAGCCACATAAATAAGAACAACATTTCTACATTAGTAAAATACAAGAACACCTTGAGAGTCAGAATTGAATTGAAGCAGATGCTCTTGCAATTCTGGTCGTTCTATGGGATGGTACATTGGTTCAGAGCTTTAAGTATTGCAAAAGACTTGAGTTCTCCGTTGGAAAATCGAAGTGTGACAAAATTAAAGAGCATACCGTCACGGAATAGCCGTAATAATAACTTGTTAGCGGCTACAGAGGCAGCAGCAATGCTCGGCATGGCATCCGAAGATCACGATTTAACATATTTCACTGATCCCTTCAATTCCCACTCACCAAAGCATATAATACTGGAAAACAGTGATCGTGACAACTATGCAGATGCATCGATCGTGTCACTGGGCTCCAATACCCCATATTCCGTCTTTTCCAATGAAAGACGTGAATCGGTAGGTTCTACATCTACCGATATTTCAACGATACCCAACAACTTATATAACAAAAACGTTAACACGTTCAGTCTTGTGTCGTATGATAAGGTATTCGCTACAACTGTCGAAAAGCAGTACATTTCAAACTGCATTCCTGATTTAAACTCTTTCGACAAATGGTGTGGATTGGATGTCACCGTATCCAATTACAAGCAATATCTCAGTCCTAGCCAGCAGGACGCGTCCTCTAAGAATATCTTCATTTCATCATCGGTATTAGACAACGCATCTTGGGGAATTAGTAAGGTGTTGAAAAAGCAACCCCAACAGTCCAACTGCAGCAAGAACTTTGTTATCGACCAGAAAGGTTTGGTAAGCCTTGCACATTAGCATTACATACATCATCATATCCACGATAGATTAATAATTAGACTCCATATATTAGAATAGGCAGATAATGAACATCATCCTTTGAGTACGTCATAACAATCCAATAAGTGATATGTTTCAATCGGAAGCAATCAAATATGCAGTAGAAAGATTTAAAACTTCAATGTTGATTTGACCATTCAATATTAGGCTATTTATTCCTTAATGCAATATAGTAGAAGAATAGTAGATAAGACATCAGTCATAGGCATACACGAACTTTCTACTAACAATGAATGTTTCTAATCCTGGAGACGTTGAATCAATTATATGATTCAATCTCAAGACGCTCCATCTCCAGTAAAAATCATGATAGCTATAAGTATCCTCTACGCTCTATAATATAGATTGCAGTGATGATACAACTGTTGTTGTAATATGTAGGTATCACTTACTAGGTATCACTTACTATAGGCCTCACTTACTATGGGTATCTGGAAACTTTCTCATCAGATAAATAACTCATCAATAACCTCTGATTGAGCATTCAACGAATTCATCATATAAAACCGTCTGGAGTTCATTCATGCTTATTCATTCAGTTCTTATCAATAATAGGCCTTAAGAAGTTTATTGGTGGTTACCATGTAGGACACTAGGGAGTTTAGACAGAAAAATACCTATCCCACACGGCTAAGACCGCTGTCGCTACAAAATCGAATTATTCTCATTTTGAATCATTCAACCCAGATCAATTTTTCCTCCATCGTCCTTAAAAAAGTAGTAATTTTATTAGCTAATATACAATATAAGTACAATCTAGATAGATGCTACTCACCGCTCGCCGGCGATGACTAGATTTTGACCATGTCGTCGTATTCCAAATCATGGTCCTCCATGCCAAAATAATTCTCATGCTCCTGTTGGAACTGCTGCTGCTGGGCCCCATTGCCCTGCAACCTGCCGTACCCGTTTATCACGTAGTTTTCCGCCTCGTCGCTCGGACTCAACTTGATGCCATCCACATCATACATCGATGGCGATGAATAATTGTTCGAATTCTGGTTCATCGACACCGGCGTCGATGGCATCTCATACACATTCGCCGTCTGGCTGTTCGCAAACGATATATCCTGAAAATTCATGTCTTCAAACTTCGTCACCGTCTTCCCGCTGCCATCCACATATTGTCTCACAGACCCCCACGGCGTAATCTTCACTATTCCCCCGTCCGGATGGTTGTAAACAGGCCACTCATTCGAGCTGCTAAACTCCTGTCTCTCCTTTTCGTTTATAAAATTTTTCACCTTTTTGGTGTCTGGTTCCACCTCTTCTCTCTTTCTTTTAGATGCGAAATTCATACTATATGCTGCTTCTCCTGCCATAATTACCCTGTCGATATCACTATAAGTGTAATAATTTGCTTCGATACGTGCGATATATGCCCCTTTACCGATCACTACTAATTATTGCTATGCTTACTATAATATCACAGTTAAGAGATCTATAGTGCTCACTTTTCCTTTGTATGGTAGCGTTATACTACTCACAATACTATGAAAAACAGCAAAGTGCGCTGGTTATATAATGATAGGACTATGTGCAGGCTCGATGTTCAGCCAGGTTTTTTCTCATATTCGGTTGTTCTTGTTCTCTGGCTTGAGGTTTGGTCTTCACGCGCAGACCACCGGGTCCGACGATGTCGCGTCCGTCGCCGGCTAACGAACAAGAGCGTGCGTGGTGTGAAGTGGGCATCCATGCACCAGTCACTGACGTAGATGACTAAAATCTAGACCGGTAAACACACACCATCCTCCCCGTCGTCATCATGGTGCAACGTGACATCTCATGTGACGCGATCTTTTTCTCTGACAAACCGTACATCCCTGCACCCACCAATGCACCAGTCGTGGTTTTTGTGCGCACCAATTTTTCATCCAATGACATTATAGTAATATTGACATTCAAATACAATTTTTTATACGCAAAACACTAGTAATCAGAAATACAGACTTTTATAATAGTTCTAATTGTATTGGGCAGTATATAAGGTAGACTGAACATGTTGAGAGTCAAGAATATAAGTAATTCGGTTCGTCTTGCTTCTAGAGCTAGGCATGGGTACCTTTCATCAAGGGCTTTCAGCAATTTTTCAAGATTGAATGCAGCTGTAAATGACGAATCTAATGTTAAGCCTTTCAAGCATGCGTTAGGCAGAGATGCACAGAGATACTCGGACGAGCCAGGTACGTTTGGGAAGACGACGTTCACCGAGTCGATGGACGAGGTAGACATGACGTGGGGAAGAGACGACGACCCTAAGCACGTTGAGAAGCAAAACACCAAGATCAGACATTTCACGATCAACTTCGGGCCTCAGCATCCAGCAGCTCACGGGGTGTTGAGATTGATTTTGGAATTGCACGGGGAAGAAATTGTCAGGGCCGATCCACACGTTGGGTTGTTGCACAGAGGTACAGAAAAGTTGATTGAATCCAAGACGTACATGCAAGCCATACCATACTTTGATAGATTGGATTATGTTTCCATGATGACCAACGAATTGGTGTTTGCATTAGCCGTGGAAAAGTTGTTGAACGTTGAAGTTCCACTCAGGGCCAAATACATCAGAACCTTGTTTGGGGAAATCACCAGAATCTTGAATCATTGTATGTCGGTGTTGTCGCACATTATGGATGTCGGTGGTTTGACTCCG